GCTTCGAGTAAAGGGATGGCGACGTTCTGATGTAAAATAGTCGAGGCTGCATTCGTAGAATATAGTCTGGTGAATGAATAAACGGCATCCTATGTTGAAAGAATATTCTATTTCTCATCCTTCACTTAGGTCAATCAAATTTCGATAAATTTACTATATACGAGTACTAGATTTCAGACAATGAACTTGTTACCCTCCTCAGCAGAGCACCAACAAATATAAGCAAAAGTACGCAACATTTCCGACTCATTTTATGCTTATACATTTCAGATACTTCAGCACTGCATTGGTAACAACTGCATAATACAACTTGTATCAGACTTGTGCCGGGATCAAAAATCAAGATCCAGGATCCTCAAGGTCCCACGGCAAATTCAATTTTTAGAGTCCAAGGTTTCCAAGGTCCAACGGCAAATTCAATTCCTAGAATCCAAGGTTTCCAAGGTCCCACGGCAAATTCAATTTCTAGAATCAAGGTTTCCAAGGTCCCACGGCAAATTCAATTTCTAGAATCCAAGGTTTCCAAGGTCCCACGGCAAATTCAATTTCTAGAATCCAAGGTTTCCAAGGTCCCATAGCAAGTATACTTTGCAGGGTCCACAGTCCCCAAGGTCCCACGACAAGAATGCATTGCAGGATCCACAGTCCCCAAGGTCCCACGACAAGAATCCATTGCAGGATCCACAGTCCCTAGGGTCCCACGACAAGTGTGAATTTCAGGATCCACAGTCCCCAAGGTCCCATGACAAGTACACACTTCAGAGTTCAGGGTCCACAGTCCTCAAGGTCCCACGGCAAGAATACATCTCAGGATCCAAAGTATTCATGGTCCCACAACAAGAACTTAAACAAACTAACATTCTGATGAGCAGACTTACTTCTAAATATTCTGCCAACGGATGCCCAGTAACATTGAAAGGGGCAGAACCAATGCAAACCTGTGGACTGTGGTGGTTTTATCGTTAACCAACATAGGTAGGGGGAGCTTCAACACAAGTTAAAAATTAATCATAATATCAATATCTCCTTCTTTAACCTGACAAATTCATAAAAAATATAGGTAGGTAATAGGTACCAGAGTGATAGGTACCTTGCAATTTGTATTGTCATGTCCCTTTCAATTCAATCTTACCTTATCAGTAGGCATGTAGGACAGCACCTTACAGCTATTGAAGACAGACATTCAAGTATTCTTTCAGGCAATATAAAAAACCAGAAATAAAACCTATAGGCTTCATAGAGATGGAAAAGTTGAATTGGATAGGTATATGCTTTCGATTTTCTGCACATTCAGTTACATAATACCTAGGATAAAAAGTAAAATATGTTCTAAGTCTTGTTTGCGCGAGCGCTCACAGAAAAACTGATCGACTAAGCCAATAGAATTCGAGTATCAGCGAGCGTAAACCTTACTTACTGTTCATTCACATTAGATTGAAGGCTCTGAACAAAATTCCATCTGGACAATTTTTTCGTCAGCCGGTTATTCGTCGGCAGATTTTCGTCTGACTTTTTCGTCTTGCATTTTTTCGTCTGTTCGAATTAATTTGGTGCATTTTTCGTCTGAGTATATTTCTGTCCGGCATTTTTTTCGTCTGGACGAGGCGGAAAATGTCCTTATGAAAATAATGCGCGGACTTAAAAATGCACAGACGAACAAATGCTTAGACGAAAGTCTGCGGACGAAAATCTGCAGACGAAAAATTGTCCGACGAAAACCTGCTAAACGAAAAAGTTGAACTGTCATGGAATCATTGCTTATATTGCTCATTGCTCAATGGTGATCTGATGAATTGCAAAACAAATAAGTTTGACACTTTCTTGGTCAGTGGGTAGCTTCCAAGTAGCTTCAAGCCCGGCATATCACAACCCAGAAAATATGTGAGGTGAGATTAGAAAAGAACTTTCCAAACCACCACTGTCCACTGTTTGACAGTTTCATAATCCATGCTCATTGATAATGTAAAAAGCTAGGGCCTTGGTAAAAAGCTACCAGGTCTCCTTTTCCAGTTCTGCCTCACAGCCATGGCAACAATTTTGCTCTATAGGTATATGTCTACACAGTCTGGTTCGTTCTCTTCGTGTAGCTATCTAGCCCCTTGCAGTTGGTCGCTCAACCATAGATATTTATTGAAGTGCTTACAGACAAAACCTAGTGCAGGGTCCTTAGTGGCCCATGTGCAACATAAACCTCATGGTCCAGCTTCCAGGATTCTTGAGGTCCCTCAACAAAATGATGGTGTAGGTCCAGACCGTTCTCCTAAGATCCCATGACAAATAATAAAACTGGTACTGAAGGTCTGCATTCTGCAGGGTCTTGCAGCATACCAAAATTTTGAGGTCCTAACCCCTGGGTTTCCATGGTTTTAGGGCATATGAAATGTTGAGGTCCTGGGTTTCTAAGGTCTCATGTCACATGAAATGTTGATGTCCTGGGATTCCAAGGTCTCACGGCATATGCAAATGTTGAGGTCCTGGGATTCCAAGGTCTCGCGACATATGCAAATGTTGAGGTCCTGGGATTCCAAGGTCTCGCGGCATATGGATGTTTTAAGGTCCTGGGATTCCAAGGTCTCGCGGCATATGGATGTTTTAAGGTCCTGGGTTTCCAAGGTCTCGCGACAAAAATGACAATGCAAGGTCCAGGATCCATCAAGGTCCCAGACCTTGGACTCTGCGAACCCTGGATCTCGGATCTTTTTGGGACCTTGGCACAAGTCTGACTTGTATAAGGCATGCTGCATGCAGCCTCAAGCAAACACGTCTGATATCAGGTCATGGAACTCCTGCAATGGGTTTCCTAGTTTGCCCGAAACTTTGACTACTTTGTTTCGAGTTTATGGACTGTTGTGACCCGATGGTCACAACCCGATGTCTCAAAGTTTCACACGCAAGCACGCCTTGAGACACGACAGCTAAAAGCGGCCAGCCTCTCCACAAGTTCGACTTCATTCTAAATACCAATCAAAGAAGTTGGTCTGCCGGCATGCGATGCTCATGCTCTGGAGAAAACTATAGTTCGTTTTTTCTAAGTTCGACCCTCACTGTAAACATCTTTTTGAACATAGCACGAGAATTGCTAGCGGAATTACTTAGAAAACTGGTTAGCGCACATTGAACTGGAGACATAAATAATATTTTCCAAATAACTTTTTAACACCGATGATATACCGTTCTGTTAAACGCCATGCGATCTATTGATCAGTTCAGTTATAATTTCTGACAAGACGTCTATCCCTGTGGGGCTGTAGATAAGGACAAATACGAGCTAGGAGTCTGGAAAATAAGAGCCAGGAACAAATAATTTTGAGTAAAATTAATCGTCTGTGAAATCAATGTGCGCCAACCAGTTTTCTCAGTAATTCAGCTAGCAATTCTCGTGCTGTGTTCAAAGAGACGATTACAGTGAGGGTCGAACTTAAAAAAAAACGAACTATAACTTCGAACGAGAGAACTCTCCGCAAACTGCAAGGGTGTCAAACTGTCCTTACAGTTGCATTGGACACGGGCCCTTGCTAAGCGGGCCCGAATTGCAATGACCATGATTACCTGAATGTTCAAACCAATATACCAATATGCTCAACCACACTTCCACCAGAACAAGACTGCAGCGTTGAACTTTAACCAAACTTGCACGAAACATAAAAAGGACCTATGGGTCCGAAGCAAAAATAAAACAATAGTAAAATGTATGAGCGAGATCTTCAAAATAATCGTCATTTGCCGGCTATATAAAATGGCCGGCCCATTACCGGCGGAATGCAATTGAACACAACGAACGACTGCAATAGCCCGGTGGAACGCGTCTCGATATGTCTCTGGCGCGCCGCCGGTACCGCCGCTGCTGGCGCGTGCCCCGTGCTCCCGGTCTGTCCGGGAAATGGCTGGCCAGCCTGCAGCGGGACCCAATGACGGCGGCCCGGACGACGGCTGATCTTCTAAAAAGGTGCGCTCACCCGACCCGAGTCGATATCTTGACCGCCGACTGTCACATTTCTGATCCCCGGGGCTTGAACGCATTCTTCACAAGGCATGATATAGACAATTTTGAGACGGGTTTCACTCAGATAGCACCAACTTGGCGACACCTCAATGGGGTCGCTAATGCCGGGCGGCAATGCCGAGCGGGAACTGCTTCGGCGCTCGATACTGAACTTCCGGGTCAAAGGAATACGTTACACTCTCACAACCAGAACGACCGGCCCGGAAAGTGTCACGCCTTTGATCCCAGGACAGAGATAACCGGAAGGAATCTGCAAGTCATTAACGAAATTAGGAGAGAATGGTGCAGGCCTCACGCAGAGTGTGGTTTGAAAAAATGAAGCGAGTTGGAAGCGACTTTTTGTGTGTTTTACAACGCAATGTTTGAATTGAGAATTGAGAGTTGAACTGAGTCATTTATTATACACATTAATCAATGACTTATTAGATTAGGCAATTATTAAGAGAATGGCTCATAACACTTGGGTCATTAAATGAATATCGCTCCGTGTTTCAAAAGCCGACGGACCACTTGATAAACCTACAATCCCATGATGCATCCACTCAAATCCCGGAAATCAATACAGCGATAACCGACGAACGTAATCTGCCCCTCCCCAGCTCCAAAGTTCTGCCAACACCGTCCAGTCCCACCCCACTAACTGAACTCACGTTCAATCTCCTGATAACGAACAAAATTCCGGCGCATCCTGGTCATTGCCCAGCATCAGGCACAGCCGAGTTCATCTGAGCGCGATTTCCACGAACGCCCGGGCCCCGGGTCAATGTGAGCCATGGAGAGCTCGGGTTATAGCCTGTATGCTCGTACCAAGAATCGGTCGATAAAACGATAGTTGCCGGGTAGGGTAAAAGGATCGGACAGTCATGGCTGCACTTCCGTCACCTAAGGTTGGGACTAGGTCACAATATACCCCACCTCGGCCTTGAGTCAGTAGTGAATGGCTCTGCGGATCGCATACTGAGATGGGCTGGTCAAAGAACAAGTCTGACCGACTTACCGTTTGAGTGAGGAGCTGACTTCCCACTTGGAGTCAGGGTCGACTCCGGCGGCGTCCTTCTGCACAGCCACTAGGAAGATGTTCTTCTCCACGTAGGTGGTGTACAGAGTCAGCACGCCCATCAGCACGAAATACGAGCACACGCAGAAAATCAGCACCGGCCTGAAAACACACAGAGGGGGAGACCTTGATTGCATCTGAACTGCATGACGGAGTGACGGACACACTATCGCAACTATCAGGAGCAAGAACAAGCTGAACGAAAACTCGTGGTCCCAACAATTCAGCATTTCAAAAATTCAGCAGCCTAAACATGACCAGAGCTCCCCAGATCTATCCACTGTTCCCTGCGGACTCCTATCACACAGACACAGGCACAGACACAGGCACAGGCACAGACACAGGCACAGCAGTGACATTAGCGTTGCGCGGAGGCAGAGCGCGAAGAGACGCCACTCCACTCTGCACGAGCCGAATGGTCGGCAATCATCCATCGCTAGCCACGCTGGCGGAGGATCCGTCTCAATCCAGCGACGGCCTCTGGTGAGCGCTCTCGGCGGTCGCCAGAGCCGGAGCAGGAGAGGGAGGGGCAGCACCGCCACCCAAACTTGGGCCAACTCGTTAGCTAGCTCCGATTTTCGCAGAGCTTTTCATTTGGCGCCGACCCAAATAAAGCCGTGTTTGTGGACCAATTCGACACGCACGCGATGCCCGTGGCGACACGCAATTGCCGAAAACACAGGGATTAATAAGCACGGTGTTTTACACGATTTTCTTTCAGAATACACACAAGTTATTGCTCGGATAAGTCGGTCGAATACCTAAGTGTTGAGCTTCAGTGTGGGTCAAAAAATAAATGGAAAAATGTTTTGGAGATGTGGTAATCAAGAAAGTGCTACTGTCGTCACTCCACAGCGCGTGTGATTTTTCACAGAACCGCGCGTTATGGTCAGAAAAAGTAAACTGGATCCAAGTCGACGCCCTGAACAATTGAAACAAAACGTTACGTCAGATAGGAGAGACGGGGCCATACATCAAACATGACAAATTACTAGCCCCGGAGGCGATCCGTGGGGGAAGGAGATCTAAACCGGAAGCTGATGACGACACACGACTCCGATAAACGCTAAATCATGCGTCCCTCCGACCATTTAGGACTCATTTCTCTAAGCGCTACACTATGAGAGCTCCAATAAATTCCCTGCATGATGACCGATAGCAGCTCCTTCCTCAAAGTCCACAGTTCACGCAGACGCGTCTCAAATAGATCTGACCGCAGCCCTTAGGCAGCCGGAGCGATAGGCGGCTCGTCCATCAGGCTTCCGGTGATCGACGACCGACGGACGGCCGACGAGACGCCCTATCTAATTTACCTCCAACGCCGGTATGTCCATGATAGACGGCCCTCAAATTCGCCGGTTTAATCAGCCCACCACGCCTCAGGCACCGCCACCGGAGCTGTAACGTGTTCGAAATAACCGCCGCATTGAAAGCGGCCCATAGTCGGGGCATTTATAGCCGCATGGAGCGGGATAAGTCGCTCGGACCCCTGTCGAGTCGGTGACGGGCTCCGGTGCCGGTGCCGCGGTCGCGTTGGCCGGATCGGGCCGATATTGAAGCCCGGCGCCGGCTCAGAAAGGTGGAGGTATTGCACTCGCTGCTCCAGCGTCGGCGGGCCACGGAAGACGAGGGGGGGGTGGAGATAGGGAGGGAGGAGGGGCACCGGAAACGAAATATTGCTACCGAACCCGACAGCACAGGTCAGAGCGGACATATGAGACAAGAAATAACAGCAAACACGCCAAGTCGCAGTAAAAAATAATCCACAACGCACACAATGCACAAAATGCGTAAAACGGAGGGAATTCCCCATAGACTTTCGGACACGGCTCCGTTCATACACCCTCATCGAGTAAAACAAACACTCGTTCCAGTCCGACAGGCCCACCGGGAGCCTGAAGCGTCTGTATAGAGACCAGCTAAGCCGATCCCCTGGGCACCGCCGCAACGAATAACAGGTAAAACCGGCTTTCAGAAATAGCGAACAGTACTCTGGCATGCATAACATAATATCTGGCATCAGTTATCGATTGAATGAATGACGCTAAATGAACATTCAGAATATTTCATTATGCTCCTGCCACTACCACTGCAGTAATGAAAATTTCGAGAAAAAATCAAGCCATAAGATGATGTAAAAATGGATGTTAATGAGATGTTGTGGATTTTTTTTTTTACACATTTGCAGCTCTGAGAAGTGAGAGTGTCACCCTATCCTATCCACCAAACTTGGCAGGCTTCAGCTAATAATTACGCTACGCCTAGTTATCGAGGCCACCGCTGCCGTCACCGCCCCCGGTCCTATGTCCGGTTAGCTGGCCATACATCACACGGTATCGGAGGCGGCCACACGCAGCCGGTCCTGTCACTGAGCTGGTCCTGAGCTGGGACGGTGGTAGGGAGCGGTCAGCGGCGGTCAGAATTGGTCAGGATTGGTCCGGATTGGTCCGAATTGGTCAGTAGTGGTCAGGATAGCCAGGGGTGGTCGAGATTGACCACTGCGATCAGGAGAGAGCAGAGGTGGATATATTGATCAGAAATGACCCTAAGTAGTCAGGACACTCACTGACAAGTGCCGGAGCAAATGACCACATACGTCCAGAGCTGATCGCGCAGCCCCGAGCCGCCACCAACGCATACCCCACCAGCCAATACCGGTCGGCGCGGCCGATCACATACCCCGACCGATCGACGCTCGATACCGGCCGAGCGCGGTACCTGGACAATTACCAAATGCCACAGACGATTACCGTTTCAGCAGGGCGGAAATACACTCAGCGCGGCGGCAGTGGTGGCCGCTGCGCGAGCCGTCCCCACCCCGCCGCTCCAGCCCAGCCGCTCCATAATGCCGGCCGGCGTGAGACCAATAACAGCGAGCCTGATTCAAGCACGCAGCACAAAGGCAAATGTGATATTCAATTTATGCAGCCTCGCAGACGAGCCAGCAGAAAATGCGCGGCAGTAAACGAACAAGAGTCACTTGACAAAGAATGGCGTCGTAACGAAAAAGGAACCGGCTACAGGTATGCCAGCGAATAGGATAGCTAGCTCATAAATGCAGAACCATGCTGAAATAGAACAGGCTCAGAAAATAACGAAGCGGGTTCTTATACAGAAATTTACAATTGATCTTGACTTCTTTTGATGAAGCAAGACGACAAAGCTTGTATTTTTACCAGTCATCAGTGCGATATTCCGACACCATATCGATTATCGACAGTTGTATAAACATTTATGAAAATCCTCAATGAAATGGAAACCACACATTCACAAAGAAGTCACACAGCGAACGAACGGGCGAACAGCCACACCTCGGCTTTGAGGTGGCGCGGAGCACCGCCGCATTATTCCCCCACCCGCGGGGGAGGAGTCCGATCACAGAGACGCTCGACAGTAGAATCCCGGCCCGGTTCAGACTCGCCACACTTCAAAGGGAGACGCCGGTCGGCGCCGGAACCCGAAATCCCGCCCGCCCCGGTCTCCACAGCTGGGATCAATCTGAACGGCGGCCCGTGTCCGGTCGCGGCTCAGCCGGCGTACGTCAGAGGTGTGAAAGGGATCCAACGGGCGAGCCGCCGCGGCGCCAGACGAGAGCCATATGCCGGCTAATGGACGGAGCGCAAACAGTCGACTGGAGGAGTTGTGAAACGCGGGGAAACATGTTTGCTTTGACTGAAGGAAGTAAAACAGAGGAGGGTGACGTCATGCTTGATAACTATCTGTGTTTTCCACAAACAGTCCACTTCTAAATGAGATAAACAGTTAACTAAAGCAATGGTGAGGCGTTAAGTATACCCCGCTGCCAACGCACCCTTACACGCCGAAAAACAGACAAACGAGCGTCAGTTTGTTGAAAAAGTCAAACTTCCCGTAAAGCACGGTAATTTTGATTTTGTTTTCCACTGGCGAAACTTCGACACGATTTTTTTCGCGTCAATAAAACCAACACTTTGCTGTCTGAGTGCGGCACGGTGTGACCAGTTGACCCCACCCGCTCCCCTCCCCTACCACTGATTTCCCCACCTCCACCGGCCCCTCCGTGCGCCGGTCCAGAATAAAGCTACGTTCCATAATGTCCGAGCAGACCGGGGATTTTGGCCGTAATAACGCCACGCAGTGCCCCGGCGAGGAGAGGGGGGGGGGGCAGCGGACCCCACCGGCGTCAACAGGTCAGGCAATCCCAATATTGTAAACGGGCTTGGCCGCAGCAGGTCCGGCATAGAAAGCTGAGCAGAGCACGTATGGATTGGGTTTCTCACGCCTACGTAGGGACAAGACAGTCGGTATTCCTGCAAGGTAGCGACCAGCACTGCCGTCACTGATTGCTTTTGGCAAAATTGCGGTGTGCACTGTGAACACATTACCTAATGAAAAACCTTTCCAGGAACTCTCGATGCAGCATGCCAATACATGATTACTATGTAAGGTAGCAGGCAATAGGAAAACATATTGCCCGATGTGATATCACTGTTTTCGGAGAGTGAAAACCGAAACATGCTGTGTTGCCCGCGAGAAGCTGAGGGCAAGTGGAGGGTGGAGCGGAGGGAGATTGGAAATTGTTAAAATTATCTACCCGATGTTAACACTGTACATATAAAGCTTCATCTATTTTACCACGGCTCTAAGACACCAACGTCACCGAGTTTGCTACCAAACAATCCAATCACCTGGTCCGACGATAAGTGCCATACTAGATGCCAGCCCCCCCCCCCCCCCCTCCCAGAAAGTCGTCACTCCACACAAAGTCGCTCACCCCTCCCGGGTGAGTCCCCCCCCCCCCCCCGGAGAGCGCGTCTCCCTCCGCTCTCACCTGGAGGCGGGGAACGGGTGCAGGAAGTCCCAGACGATGGCCAGGCCCGACAGGCCGACCGCCAGAGTGCAGATGGCCAGCCGCCAGTCCATCAGCCAGTGGCTCTCAGAGTACTTGTACTTGGTGAGCAGCGTCTGCGACGGCAGAGGGCGGGGCAGTCGCAAATATACTCGTATAGATGACGCGGCGATCGGCGGATGGGCAGCGATGTTACCGTACAGTTTCCGTGAGCATAGAATCACAGTGATAATAATTAACTGTAACGCTAACTTGAGTATAATCAAATCAGACGGTTTTAAAATGTCCTTAGGTAGACCAGTTGACTTCGCATGTGACTTTTTACAGTACACATCAGTGCCTACAAAGGCTCAATGAAAACAATACAATTTAGGAAATGACGCTACAAGCCTACACCCTTACCTCTTTGACAGCATCATCCAGAGCATTTTTCACAGCTGATCCATCCCACTTGTCGACCTTGATGGTGTCATCTTCCACTGCAGCAGGCTGAAAAAAAATCAAAGTGGTTAGAAGAATTATCTCTTACTGGCATACTAATATATGCCAGTATCTTAAGAATAAAAATGCATGGACCATAGATAACATGATTCATGTTATCTTTGCATGGACTAATGGGCAAAGTTATAGCTAGCTCTATTTTGCTCTAAAGTACCTGTTTGTAAAACAGCATTTACCACAACAGACATGACTTTAAAACTTCCCATTCCTAATGCTGACTAATTCCATTTCACATACTCAATGAAAAACAATGAATATGAACAGAATACAACATTTTTGGGCTGCATGATGCCTCTCAGCTAGCAATTATTCTCCTGTTCTTATCAGTCATCACTTCAGTGTATATGTAAAAAAGATCTTGGTCATTATTCCTATTGTCTGCCCAGCGTCCTATTTGTACTCCATATTTTTAGGCCACAGAATTAATATCAATAATAATATGTTAACATAAAACACAGTGAGCTGCAAGGGGGGGGGTATCTCAAATTGTTCAAAGCAGTAATAAAATGATCATTTTATTCTTTCATTTCTTCCCCTTTATACTTTTCTTCTATAGCACCTATGCTAAAAACAAATAATTAAGGGATTTGTGCCCCAGCTTTCTTCTCTAACAGAAACGGAAAGTTGTTTGCTGCAATTCCACAGAGGCATGAAAAACATGGACAGCAGAGCAGTGTAGCCACCACGCAGCTCAGCAGAGTGCACAGTAAAAGCAGGTGCCTGTAAGCAGTTCAGAAATCAGAAGACAGCTGAATGTCATTTGGAAGCCTGTCATCATTATGGCCAATATAGTGAGAATTAATGATGGGGTGTGAAACAACCCATTCGCAACTGCTTTTACCATCCACAGTCCACCCTCAGCACACAGGTCTGTGGGGCCTTGCCAAGGCCGCCTTGGTAATATCTGGATTGCATCAGCTGGCTGGCCAGCTGGTGATGTACGAAAGCCATGAATAAAGATATAGGTAAGCATGGTAGTAGATGGACAGATACCTACATAATACATGGCACTAATAGAGAAATTATGGTTGGTTTGGGTTAAGCACCACATCCAGTGGACCAAGGCGCTAACCAGAACTCTCACTCTGTTCCAAGCGGTCAGGTAGCGGCAATGCCACGTGCATTGCCCGGGAATCGAACCCGGATGGCCGAATCTAGAGGCAAGTATCTCACCCCTAGACCGGAATGCTCCCCAGAGAAATTAAGAGATAGATATTTAGCCTTTTAATCTAGCATTGATTTGCAGCATTGTTGATGCATTGCATTGCACTTGAATCACATAAATCCTTGTTGATCCACAATTGAAGTTAAAGGGACCCTCCCACCTTCAAAAAAGTTAATGAATTGGCATGAAAGTGATGTCGCTCGGTTCAGAAAGAGCAAAAACGAATATCTACCAAATTTCATCGAAAAATATTCACCGGTTTTCAAGATATTAGACTTTTACTTTTGTTTACTTTTTGGGATCGCCGCTGTTCCTAGCGACTTTATTTGAAAGTGCGGCATTTGTTGCGCGCAAAGCAGCATATACCACCGCGTGCTACAAAACGTTTCAGTCAAACATTTAACGGACGTTCGAAAGCCTGATGACGTCATCAGATTCCCGTAATGGTTAAGAGATAGGGACCACGCTGGTCCCACCCTGCAAGTAAAGGGAAGAAATTTCTTGAACACCATAAAGCTGCGGGGGTTGCGACCAGGATAAATGGTGGTTCCTGAGCCTGGCCGCAAACTTGACTATCTCAACTCAAAACTAATGTTAAGGTGGGAGGGTCCCTTTCACATGTCAATGAAACATTTAAAGTACCCGATGATACTTACCATTCTGCCCAAATGTGCCAAAACTTGCTTCAACTAAAACCAGCAGTTTCAAAATTATTGAACTAAGTAGGCGCCAGTTCAAGTTCAAGCTCAAGCTAGCAAAGTGGGGCTTTGCTTATGCTTATCTTGATCTTGCTTTACAATCACTTCAACTTGCACTAGCTTCAAACTCAAATATCCAGCAATTCAAGGTATAAGTTCTTCGCCAAACAGAAGAAATACAGTTTCAACAATCCGTGATTTTGGATCTCCCTCGAGTTATAGCAATATCAAATAAATAACTATACGACAAAAGTAACCAACCACGCCGGCGTGAAAAGTGAATGATGCAAGGCCATCTATAGATGATGCTGCGTCAGTTTTGTATCAAAAACACGTATACATTGGATTTGGTAGCAATGGAATCGGAGGAAATTTTTTGGAACTTTTCAATAACTTTTGTGGAAAATTACTTCACATCTCCCTACTTTCCTTCATATTCTTCCGTTGTCACTTGTGTTTTGTTATATTTCATTATTAACATTTTTAATTTGAATGCACAAAATAGGTTGATATTGATATCATTCAGGCGTTTATTTAGCCTTGCAATCGATTCCTCGCCTCTGGTGAAAAAAAAAGATAAATTTTTTCTCCAATATTGTCCATCTATAAATACAAATAAAATTTCTATGGAACGTACAGTAGGTCTACTAAAAAAGTCCCCCGCTCCAGAGGCGGCCGGCCGGCCGAACCCCCGGATTCCAGCCCCGACTCTATTGCGCAGGCCGCGGCAGCGACACGGGTCAGGTCGCGGCGCCCGGCGAGTGGGTCAGTTGGCGGCGGCCGGCCGTGGAGTGAGGACGCCGTGTGTGGGGCGCAGAGATGCCGCAGTGCAGAGGAGGGGGAAGATAGCGACTCTGCACTATGCCGGAAATGATGCCTTTGTGATCTAAATTAAACACCTGCAGACGCAGTGCATATCATCCCTCGCCCCATTCCTATTTTATCATAATCCTTCAATAGGTAATCCGTAATGACCATTCAACGCAAGCAAACAAAACAACCCGTTTAGCGGCGACATCATCTCGGATAAAAAGCGACAGTGATGATTAAAATAGACTTAGCGCGAGGGCAAATCGAGGGGTATATATGTATCACATACCGAGTATTTTGTTCCCATCTAGCAAATCAAGATTGGAGATCTTGTCCAACAAGTCAGCGGCCGTTCTAGACACAGATAAATGCTTTGTTTTCGGTCGCATCATTATCTGCAATAATTCGAAGCGAGGTTTAACCCTCGCCTGCCGAGAAGAAGGGGTGAATGCCGCCACCATGTATTTTTTGCGGTAGCTCAAAGCACACTGATGATAGAAGGCTGACATTTCATACGCCTTGCATTTAATTCAAGCCGGATCATTTGACATCAACCACGTTTTCAGGTCAGGTCACTTAACCATGGCGTCTTAAAGGGACCCTCCCACCTTCAAAAAAGTTAATGAATTGGCATAAAAGTGATGTAGCGTGAATCACAAAGAGCGAAAATGAACATCTACCAAATTTTACCGGAAAATATTCACCCGTTTTCGAGATATAAGACTTTTATTTTTGTTTACTTTTTGGGAAATCCGCTGTTTCTATGACGTCACATAAAGGTTTTCTTTACGTCGGCATTTGGAAGCAATAGTTTGGTATCAAAGTGCGACAGATATTGCGCGAATGACGCGTTTATCTTAACAAGGTCAATATATGATGGCCAATAAAGGATTCCAGGACAATTCTGGGCTCTGGTATTAACTGGATAATTCGCCAGCTGACCCCGTATGGTGGCGCTAGTGGAGCAGCACCATATGACGTCAGCAGAAAACACCGTGAGCAGCTATGAAATGGGAGCGAGCACCACGGAAATATCGAAAGGTGATGGACATGTACTGACTTTGGTCATTCAAGTACCACCAACACCATACAAAAACCATATAATATCATCAAGACTGATTCTGGATTCGATTCGTTCGGGTATTTAAAATACATAAAAAATGTTTGTTACCGAATTCTGAAACAGTATAAGGATATTCTTGTTCCTTACTTTTACCTTGTGGAGTACTTTTACTTGCTTTCTAGTGCGCCCATCACTATCTTGAAATCTGGATTGCAACGCTGTAGGAAAACTTGTTTTTTCATTTGTCATTTCTTCCACTTTTAAGCAGTGATAATTTATTTGGTTTTATACATTAAATAATGAAGACGGCTCCTAACTTTTTAGGGATCTGCAGTGGCCCAGAGAGCAAAATCAGACATTTTCTAGAAACTTGAGGCCACTATTTTCTTATATGCTAGATAATATACAAATATTGACATGTAAAGAATGATACGGGTGTATAATTCTGCAGAAATATGAATTCAAAGTATTTAAATTTTTCAAGAACCTTTTTAAAATCTTCCATAATGACTTCTTTCAATACAAGGTGGAAGCAATTTCAGTTAACAATAAAGCAGCACAAGGCAGTACCTTGAGCTGCGATGATCCATAACCAATCGGCACCTGCAATTTGATTGATCTTCGAGATGTACCCTACCTCTGTTCCCTGACTTTCCCTTTTCGTTGTACCGGGTGAAGTGAATATTCTGTGAATATTCTTCTGACAGTCAGTTTTAAGTCCTACATTATGTTGTCAATCAGATTTAATTGGTTCAAAAACCGTCGTAGTCCGTCTCATTCGCAGTCTACATCTCCACATGAGCACCCATACATGCTCAAAATTTTCACTACGTATGTACTATGTACCCTGCAGCGTATCCTGATGAAAAATGTTTTGTTGAAATCAGAGACACTTCCCAAGGTAGGCCATAGTCCATGGCCATATATTTAAGTCAAAACAGATGAAACAGATAAACACAATTCCAATCATCAAGTCAACCAGCATCGACAATCTGCACATAAGTTCTAAACCTATTGCAAGACTAATTTGCATTCAAACTTTGTATTGCAGAAGGGTGGAAGCTGCATGGAATTATGCGACAATTTCAGCGTGCATCCACGCTCGAAAGAGCAGGGTTAATTGTAACAATGTCAATACCATAACAATAACGTAATTGTAGGTGTTGTGATTCGGTTGTCTCTTGTCTGTGCTGGCCATTGCGCGGGCGGTCCAGCGGCGGAACTCGGCTTCGCCGCCGTGGCGCGCTGGCAGTTGCTTCTTCTTCTTCTTCTGCATCCCACCGCCAACCCGCTCAGGGGGGCGGCGGCGCAGGCAGGTCGAGCGGCGGCTCGGTCCGCCCAACATCCTCGATGAAGGTGACGACCTTCGTCGCCGGGCCGCCGAGGACGTCGACCAGGCGAGGGTCGACACCCCAGCGGCGGCGGCGGGCCACCTCATAGGCCGGACAATCGGTCAGTAGGTGCGCCGCGCTGTCGGGCTCCCCGCACGCGGGGCATTCGTCGTCGGCTTCCGGGCCAATCTTGTGGAGCGTGTCACGGGTCAGCGGTGATGTGCCGGTCCTCAGCTGGGACAGCGTCACTGACCCCAGCGCGCCAGGGAGTCGTGGCCAGGCGTGGGGTCCGGGTGTGGGTGGGCAGCGGTTGCCCTCTGTCGCGACAGCTCCCGGACATGGCGCGTGACGGCGGCCCGCGCACTCGACAGGTCGATCGGTGCGCTGTCTTGGTCGCCCGCCGTGGCCTCGCCAGCCAGGCGGTCGGCGGTTTCGTTGCCGTCCAGCCCGGCATGGCCTGGCACCCACTGGAGCACCGTCTCGGTGCCGTTCTCGGCGATGATGCTCAGCACTCAGCAGCCTCCACACCTCGGCAGCCAGGGCCATGGTATGGTTAGCTGGGCCGCGGCCGAGTAGTTGGAGCCCAGACCTTGAGTCGGTGAGGAGGCGGACCGACTTGGTCGACGCCAACTCCCCGTCCTCCAGGCCGGCCACAGCCGCGAACGCCTCGCGCATGGCGGTCAGTTCTGCTCTTAGGCTGGAGCAGACCGCCCCTGCAGGAGCGCGCACAGTCTCTTCTCTGTTGAGGTGGTGGAACTGGATCAGAGCCTGCGCCGCCCTGTTCCGTCCGCCGCGAGCCGAGCCGTCCGACCAGATAGTGACGTCCGGGTGCGGGAGCTCTGCAATGGCTTGCAGGGCAGCTTCCCTGCAGACTGCAGGCGGGTCCGACCGGCGGGTGGCCACGGGCAGGTCCACCCTGAAGGTGATGCCGCCGCGGTGGCCCAGCCATGGCGGGTCGCAGCTGTAGAGCGCCGAAACCTGTAACACAATAAAATTGCAATTGTAACAAAGACCTGCATGGTCAGCACACATCTGCAGTGACTGTCATCCCAAGTTGGTATGAATTGGCACAAAGTTGGGTCATGGTAGCAGACGTAGCACAAGCTGTTGTGATATGCCATACCGCAGGACTAGGTCGTAGGTTGTAAATTTTAGGTTTAAGGCTGTAGTTTGTAGGTCAGGTTAGGTAAGGTTTGGTTAGAAAGACCCATTCTCATGCATCGGGCAGCTTGTGCTACATCTACCTTACCAATACCCAATTTAAATTCCCAAAATTGATGGCAAACAGGCTTTTTGTATAACAAGTGTGGTTAATTGTTCTAATCCCCGCTGCAATATGAGGGTAACTGCTTTTCTACAATCACAATATTTGAATTCATATATGTAGGTGTTCACATGTTCAGAAAATGATACAAAATATGACACAATTATAGCTGCAACTGGATAGTGGATACCAACCTCAACTTAAAGTTTCTGCAGCCTTATAACCTAACAAATGACTAAATTGCCAAAATAAATCCCTCAGTACAATAGCTTGACTCTAAAATAACAGAAATTTTGCATGCAGACCCTGAAATGGAGGGTTTATGAAAAGTAACAAAAATAAACATTCACTAATATCAATATGTTGTTATAAATTTCATATGTAGCATAAGCGCCAATACTGCCTTCATTTACAATGTTGCTACTGTTTTCCACTCACAAACGCTGCCCTCCGTGGACAGCAGCAGCAGCAGTGAAACGTCACCCGTGGTGTGACATCATCACCCATGACGTAATGGAAATCCAGTTGTTACCAAGGCCCACAATTCTTATGGCATTTCTTCGTATCGCAATTCTTCGTCTGCAAATCTTCGTCAGGGCATTTATTCGTACCTATCGCATTACTTTGTCTCGCACCAGGGTATATGAAAAACGGCTCGCATTTCTTCTTCAACGCAAATATATGCAAGAGTAAGCATTGAGGGACAAATAAATGCACCGACGAAGATTTGTAGACGAAGAAATGCGGACGAAAAATTGTGCTACGAAGAAATGTCATGCGAGGATTCGTTCGGGTACCATGACGGTGATTTCAAAGTCAAGGTTCACAGCTGATCTGCTAAATCAAGCCAAGAATCCAAACTATCAAAAAACTATAAATATTTGTTTGTCTGTCACAGAGGTCTCAAGCAATATAAGGTTGACATATGTTGAATCAAAAATCTACTGCCACAACTCACATCTCCTGCCTTAGTTTATCATTGTTGTTTTAACTTGCTTTCAAGAGAAACAGAAGGCAGAAGCCAGTATCTGATATCACTTCAGATGATTGTTTCAAGATCTGAGTTCAAATGGAAATAAAAGCAAGCTCAAGATGAAACAGGGATTATTGCTGTTAAAGTAGTTTGGCCATGATACAACAAGCACATAAATCATTAGCCAAATCAAATACTGGTTGGTTTGTCAAGATGTTTGTTGTCTGTCGTCTGTCGAGCTGCTATGAACACTGAACGCTCTCACTCTTACTTTAAAGATAGTAGTTTAAGTTGAATGGTAGTGAGCTGTAATTAGACAAAGCAGCTATTCAGTGCTCACATCAAGCCAGGCTAGGAAATGGCATCAACTGTGGTGGGAGGAAGCAGGTTCGGCAGCCCTATGTTGTAAACTTCTGTTATGCCTTGTGTTTGATCAACTGATGTTTTCTGCTCTGTTTTGTGCAGTGATAGTAGCAGGTAACTGCATGCTTGTCAAATTATGTGAATAAACGAAATCATAACATTGCATTTTTCTCTCCATGCAAGGAACAAGTAAGATGTTGTAGAAAATGTAATAGAGGGCTGCATTGCTGATTTTGCACTTTATCAGAGCTTTATTTAGAATTGCTTTCCTGAAAGCTACACACAGGCCACAGTGCTGAAATTCACAATGTCATAGCTTTTGGCAGAAAAAAG